AGCAATGCAAATCAAAAGTTCGAGCAACTTACAACATCTCCACAACCAGTCTGTCGCGTACACAGAATACAGTTTTTATGGTTTCGTCAATGGCCATGTTAAAATGGAAAGGTGACAACGGACAGCCTTAACTTAAACAGTTTTTGACATGGAAGCTTCGGGATAGTTGCGAAAGGCAACTTGTAAGTCAGTGGCGAGTGAGCAGCGCAGTACCACATACAGTAACCTTGTCACGACTGTCTACAAAACCCTCCGTAACTTAGTGGTCTTGGACTACAGGGTGATAACAGTGGAGTTGTGGATACAAGTCCATCAGGGGTCAGATGGAATGCATACTACTGACGACGGCGGAAGGGGGAAACAGCTGTACAGTGCATTTTCGGGCATGTGATGGCTGTCTAACTAGGTCTAAAGGTGGTGCAATGCTCATCATCATTATTATGCTCGCAGGTTGCAGGTGGAAAACACCTCAGATATGGTGCCGTAATACAAAAGAAAAGAAAAAAGTGAAACGGAGGCACGCCAGCTGGATCACCAGTAGCCGATGGATATCGTTCAGGATAGCTGACAGCCGGCTATTGTGCCACCAAAACTCCTTATAATGTTTAGTAATTAAGATCGTGGTTGGAGAGAGATACTAAGCGGAGGGCGATGAACAAATGAACTCACTCGACTAACATCATTGAGGTCTGCTCCTAGCCATATCAACAAGTGTGTCCAACCAGACGTGTTCATTGTCCTGTCGGCCGGTGGCCGAGTGGTCTGCACGTTTGCTTTGCAACCATAAGGTCACCGGTTCGAATCCGCGTAGGGGTGAGCGTCCTCACGGTATACTCAGCCCGCGCGAAACTGGTGGTGGTCGCGCGGCAGCGAAGTGCCGTTACGGCGTACAGCTGACACATTAATTATTTTTATTATTTGTTCATTGTCCTTCAGTCCACAACCATGGAGCCAATGGGCTCCGACCGAGGCCAACTTTGAAGTAAGGACCTTCATTCCTCTTGAGCAAGTCATCACTTGGCCACCCCTCTACTTCTTCCATCCACACCCCCGGCGCGCAAACAGCACACGTCGCGGGAGTCGGTGGGCTGGCATGCGTAACACATGGCCGAGCCATCGGAGCCTGGTGCGTGAAATGACGGTGCTGAGCGGTTCAGTTAATTTTTCTGTGCCCTAATCAAGGTGTCGAACACGCTCGTTACTCACGCGGTGTTCCCACCAGATGTGAGCTAAATTGCGAAGGCACCGATGATCGTACGTAACTAGCCTCTTCAGGTCCGCCGATCTTAGGGGCCAGGTTTCGCAACCGTGCAGTAGGGTCGAACGTACCGCTGCATTGTACACTCTACCCTTCAGGGCGAGAGTGATGTTGCGCCGGCGCCATAAGTGCCGAAGGTTATCAAAGGCTCCTCGGGCTTTTGCTATATGGCTCATGATCTCATCTACAATCCCAAAGGCGCTGATACAACTGCCTAGGTGGTTAAATTTCTGAACGACTTCTAGCTGATCCCCACCAACGGTCAGCGTAGGAGGCGGTCCAGGCCCATCTTGGAAGAAAGCTTTGCACTTCGAAGGTGCAAAGCAAAGCCCGATGGGACGGACAGCTAGTGCTAATCTGTCCAGTGCCGCTTGGCACGTCTGGGAGCTGTCACAGATTAGGGCAATATCATCAGCATACTCTAAGTCAAGAAGTCGTTCTCTTGGGAGCAGATCCAAACTTTCTACTTCGTGTCATGTGAACGCGATTTCCATGGCTTCATCAATAGCGAATTTGAAGAGGAATGGTGGCAGTGGGCATCTTTGTCTCACACCGCTGGAGATATTGAAGGGCGACTACAGATTGCAGTAAGCCCTGAGTCTGCTTGAGCTACGCGCGTATAATGGTCGGATAATATTTACATAACTCGGGCAAGCCTTTCCTTAGTGGACCGTCCTAACGTTCACATCTATCCACCGAATCGAATGCACCGTTGATATCGAGGCAAATAATTTAGAGGAGAGGGGTATCAGACTGATTCCTCCATGGTTTTCGTATACAGAAATCGAGCCTCCTTTAAAGATCAGCACAATAACGGAACGACTGCAGTCGGTGAGGACAGTTTCCTGCTTCCACAGTTTCATTAGTAACTCGTGTAAATCATCCGCAAGAGCAGCGCCCCCGAATTTAAAGAGAGTCGAAGGAAGATCAGCTTTTCCCGCGGCTTTATTTAACTTTAACAATCCGACCTCACGTTCGACTTCTGAACGAGAGGATGGATCCAAAAGGACAGTCCAGGGAGCAGGACGATCATTGGCCGGGGAGGGCTCTAACAATTTCGGTCAATAAAATTCCTCTTCCAACTGCTCAGCCCAGCGCTCCAAGCGTTTTGAGTTATGGTTAGGCTGTCCACTCACGTCACGTATAGTTTCACTAACACCGGTTCTAATGTTGGCCGTTTCCCGTATCAGACGGGACAACTTCCGATGGTTACCAAGGGCAGTGGCCACTTCCATCTCTGACGCACCATGAAACCACAACGCTTCATGGTTTCTCGTCAGGCTAGTACGGAGGTTTGCCTTGATGTTTTCGCGAGTCTAGTTGTGCCCGCTTTCAGCTGGAACGTGCCTGCGCGCAGCGATAAAATCCGGAGACGGCGACAAGACCCAATATATATTTTTGGCTAGTGGATTTACCGCATGATGATTTACCTGCTTCAAGTAAGATCTGATGAACATACGATCAGTGATCTTCAACTGTATTCAGTGAGCGCTTGCTCACCGAACGCTAGCGTACTTCTATACGCATTCAGAGACTCTGACTTCGCCAGTTGGCTGGTGTCTACGCACTCACAAGTTGGTTGAAGGCGACCGCCAAATCTCACTCATATCAGCAGATACAACTGCATGGTCAGTGTCCACACATGTGATACTAATCGAGCGACAATTCCGGACGCATACTCTCCAACGATAACTTATCGCAATGTGATCGATTTGCTTCCATGGCCGGTTCGAGGCTGGTGGGCACAATATCACCTTCCGAGTTTTGCTGTGCGGGAAGTTACTACTCGCAAGAAATAAGCGAGCATCTTCACACAAATGAAGTAACTGCTTACCGTTTTCAGTACGGGAGCCTACATCGTGTTGGCCGCCCAGATGCAACTCATCAGTGGACGATTTCCTCACTTGAGCGTTCACATTCCCAGCCAGCACTACAGTGTCAATGCTTCCTCTGTGGTGAAGCATCTCGTGCAGTTGACGATAGAAGTCGTTTTTCACGGAATTATCGCTACCGTTTTTGGGGATGAATGCAACGATGATAAACAGACATCCATTAGTCCCGCGCGACTTCGAAGTTTTGAACGAGCCAGTCAGTCGGACTGCGCTCTTCCGGCCACTGATTGGGATCCAATCAACCAGAGCAGCTTCAGCCCGGAGACTCAGGGCAATACCAACACCGGCTTGGTCGGTGCTCGTAGCCGCAACGTCTCTTGATAGGCGCATTGAGAAAGTGCTGCTACTATCACCTGAAGGGAATCGCCGAGTGAGAACAGAGCTCGGGTGTTGTAAGCAAATTTCGGATAAGCAACAGATATCGATCGAGAGGGTCTTTAATTTTCGGATAAGTGTTGCCTGTTGACCGATCTGTAGCAATGTGCGCACGTTGAGGCATACCAATCTGAGGGAGGATCGGGGGCTCCACATAAAAGCAGATGAACTGGGTTTGACTGCTTGGTTAGACATGGGTTTGTCGATAGGGCAAGAGTGACCCTCCGCTTTCACATGTGAGTTAAACCTAGAAGATAACCGCCTACAAATGTCTGGTTGGGAGGGCCAAGGGTTCGGGGTTGCAAACGGGAGGATAAAAGTGAAACTGGAACGGGACGAGAAGGGTGAAAGTGGGGGAATCCGAAGGTGGGAAGGCTTGAGCTGTAGCATCCAAACCTCTATCCACCCCGCTCGATGCAACAGATATGGCGCCGTTGACTATACTCTGCGGTGGCCAAGGCATCAATAAATTTTTTGACGAGATTCATAGTATTGCTTGGGCAGGATACTGTCAGGTTGCCCAGGCCTAGACAGGAGGATGTTTTGGGTTCTCAACTAAAGTCTTTGGTTCAAAAACCTGACCTCAAGGCAGCGGGTTTGGCGTTGGGTTACAAGGAGTCCGTTTTAAGTAAAAAGCAGCCGATTTCCTTTCAGCCCCCAACCTGGAGGGCCAAGAGACTGAGTTTGTCAAGAGTCTAAACATTGACCAATGTGGCATGAGTGGCTGTGAAGGTGAATAAAAGCAACACCAAGCATAACTCAATGGATCGCTGAGGCACGCAAACCATCGCACCACGGTAAGGTCCAGGCTACTTATACCAATAAATTTCCCCACCACTTCTCACTTTTTCCATTTCATGTCAGTTTTAAAGATAAAGTACAGCTTTACCAAAGGCGTCTTGACGACATGCAGTCCCATTTGCATTAGGTGATATAGTCCGGTTCAATTTAAAGACGAAATAAAGCGAACCGGACGCAGTGCGCACCGACTCACTCCGTAACGCAACAGTAGGGAATCCTGCCGTTGTGTTCACGTGCATAGCTTGCTCAGTCAAAGTAAAAAGGAATTTTCCTATTGTCCTGTCATTTTTACCCTTTGTTTGATAATCTTGGCTCCAGTCCTTCTACGATTCCCGTCAAACGGTCGCTTCTGCATGTTATAATTCATTGTTTAGCTTTCGAATAATACAGTAAACGGGCTTTACAACGTGATCAACAATTGGTGTTATTTTCCCATCCGACATTGAAGATTTATTCGCGACATACGGGTATGGTAAAGCGATGTATATGTTGTCCTAGTTTGTGTATCAGCCGTGCACGTTCAGCGCTGGACGCAAACCAGTGCGCCTGTCTCGCATGGACGTGTACTCGATTTTGGGTCACGTGTCGCCACTTTGGGCTTTGAAATTATTCAGATCACGATGCTGTCTGCCAGCACGTGGCGTAACTGATGGGGAAAACACCCAAATTAAGCGATGATCAAGATGGGTGAAACAAAGCCAACGTATGAGGTTGATCTCGACAAACTGATTGGCAATCTGAAAGAAAATATCCACACACCTGGGGTACGCGTACCGATAAGCGAACTGGAATGCATAGCCTTATGCTGTTTGGTAAAACCGATTTTCCAAAGCGAAAGTATGCTTATTCGTATCCAAGCTCCGATCAAAGTTTGTGGAGATATCCACGGACAATTTTACGACCTCCTTCGCTTATTTGACTTATGTGAATACCCACCCAGATCCAGATACTTGTTTCTTGGTGACTACGTGGATCGTGGGCAGCAATCTGTGGAAACTTTGTGTCTCCTTTTTGCATACAAAATTAAGTATCCTCGTGGGTTTTATATGCTCCGAGGTAACCACGAAAGCGAACTGATAAATCGAGTCTACGGATTTCGCGATGAGTTGAAAGAGCGCTTTGGTAAACCAAAAATTCACAAACACTTTGTTTCGGTGTTCAACGTTATGCCTGTGGCCGCAGTGATTGAAAACAGCATATTCTGCTGTCACGGTGGACTGTCTCCCGATCTGATGCCTGAGGTCCATAAACCACTGGACGTTCTCATCAATCACATTCAACGTCCCACTGAAATACCTCGACAGGGATTACTTTGTGACTTGGTTTGGTCTGATCCGGCTGACTACACGCAGGCTGGTGACTTACCCGTCGGATGGCTTCCAAGTGCTCGTGGTTGCGCTTACAATTTCGGAGTCGATGTAATCAACGCATTCCTAGACACGTATGAGTTGGACCTTGTGGTACGCGCTCATCAGGTGGTAGAGGATGGCTACGAATTCTACTATGAGAACAGGTTGATAACCTTATTCTCCGCACCAAACTACTGCAATCAGTTTCAGAATTCCGGTGGCGTGTTTGTCGTGCGCAAAGCCGATGAGGTGTTCGGTACATTGGAAGGTGGATTTGAGGTGATACGCCCCGACACACGATACCAGTTTAATTACTACACCCGCAAGCATCATGTGGACGCACAGGATTAATTTTCTGCATTCGTGTTTTTCCCTCGCTGTTCTGCTGCATGTACGGTTGAAACCAACTAAATTCGAATAGAGCGCTGTGGGTGACACCACCTCTGGACGAAAGTGTCCACATCTTCGAGGACAGATAGAAAGGAAATAAAATGGCTGAGCAAATGGGTAGTCTGAGTTCTGCTTTTCGTCTATGCTTAGTCATTCTTCGTTATTTTTAAACACAGGGTTAACAAATGGACGTATTTCCAGTACTTTATGCTGTGTCTTAGTTAACTAGGTTAACTCATGTTGTGGGTGAGGCATATACATGCCGGCATGCGCAATACCTGGCCGAACGAACGCATGCGGTTTTGGAGAATAACCGTTTGGAGGCTCTCGGATTTTTGCGTTATGCACGTGATGCTGTCAGCACACGCTAGCAATCCTACTCAGACAATGATTGTTGAAAACTGATAATCGTTTCATGTCTTCCGAGTGAGTCGGCCAGGTATCACAGCCGTAAAGGAGGACCGCACAGACCGAGGCAATGAATGCTCTCCCCTTAAGTTTGAGACTGACGTCTCGACGGCGCCATAAGTGGTTCAATCTGATAAACGCAAGTAGTGGCTTTACGATCTGTTGGGAGACTTGTGGGTGAGGCAAAGCAATATCAATTCGCTTTTGTACTCCGCCAACGCATGATCGCAGTAAACAAAATTGGAATACCGTTCTACGATTGGTCCACCCATAGGAACACATCATCCCGCTGAAACTCCAACCAGCTGTACTTTGGAGTCAAATTGCACTGGTGGCCCCTCAGCGATGTGATCTGGCTGAGTTTCAGTAATTAGATGCTTGTTACATTGAGGTATTCCACAGTTAGCTAGATCGTCGTAAAATCACTTTGGAGGCAGTGGTTTGTCCGGCTGTGGTCTCCTAGCCTTCAGTTCAAAATTGTAAGGAAAAAGTAAGAGGTTTTTGGACGTGGCGCAGGAAATTAACGCTAGGCTTCCAGCAGTGCTCCCGGACTTCGGTAGTGTATCCCTTATGCAGCCACACAAAGGCGCTGTGCAATAAAGGAAAAATGTTATCGTCCAACCGAAGCTTTATCGATCACATCGCAATCCGCCAGATGTTCCAGCGTCGTCAAGCACTCAACCGGCCAACAAACTTTGTCTTCTTAAATATGCGACCCAGAGTTGTCGTAGTCGACCCACCAATAATATTCCGCAAGAGGCCAAGTTAACTGACTTTTCTCGCCGCTTTTCTAGCCTGTAGTGAAAAACTTAAACAATCATATGGGCACTTCGAGGTCATGTTCATGAGAATTGCACTACGAAATTGCGCTCCTAGCCGGTAATCGTAGATTCTCTGGTGGCACATGCCAGTACTTTACACTTGGCTACACTACACTAGAGCGTATTCTGAGTTCAACACTCACGGGCTTAACCTAGCTTTTACTGACGCAGGTCCACATAATTTTTTAGTGCATCCACACAGTGTATAGAACCTGAGATGATCACAATGACGCGATCCTTTAGGAACGCCAACAATATGGCCGGCAGGTGGTGGAAAGGAGAAGATGTCGGCCTTGCAACCTGTTCGAGCCTGCGTGTGTGACCGGGTGATCCTCGCACTATCCTTAGCCCACACGTAGCTGGTAGTGGTTGTGTGGCAACGAAGCTTCGGTGTGGCGTACTGATGAGGTTACCTTTGCCAGTAACTGTGGTGGTCTTAAAACTGCTTCTGGTAGGACACTACTCTTCGCCCCCCTTTCGCTCAGATAAGGTATTCTCAACTCCTACCATTATCCGAATTCGGGGGAAGAAGGCCTACATCTAATGCAACATGGTACCGCCGATACCATGGAAGGTGAAGGTGATGGTGGAGGAGGATCCGGTAATCTAAGTGGTCAGCAGCTTTCCAGAAGTCCAGGTTGGTAGTGACAACACCTTCCCTATGTTGTCAGACTCAGACAAGTTGGCATAGTCCACTAGAAGCCTGGTTTTGAAAAGTACCGTGCTGCGCTGAGGCGATGATACTAACCTTCTCTACCTATCCCACTAGTGTTCGTAGTACAATAGCCTCCATGAAGTTCGCAAAAAGGGGCAGGATAGTTATTGAGCGGCTGTTTGCGGGCACAGTGCGTTCACCTCTCCCTTGTCAACCGGAGTGAATGTTTCGTGGCTTTGGTGTCATGAAACGTTGGTTTCCGTTGACAGCATTAGTAAAATTGTTCAGCTACGCTTCTGGCAGACAGCTTCAATGACTTTGGCTCAACGTTGAGTGCACCAAGAGAACTTTACCCATGCAGTGAAATCAGTCTATTTAGGACATCCGCAACAGTGAAGGAGATATGGCAAAACCCTGCTGGTGACTGCTTTCTACAAGCTTGAAGTTAATTGCCGGTGCCATTTGGAAAGTTAGCATCTTCTGATGCAATGGGGGCTCATACATCACATACCGATCGTAAAGGAAAACAGTCCCGCTGCAGTTTGCACAATTTGTTGACATGCTCATAAAGCAATTTGTGATTAGAACGCAACTCCTCTTCTAGATTCTGGTAGGGGTTCAATCGGTCCCCACAGACCAACATGACATAATTGTTCCATTTAATGAGGTAGACTCCGCAGTTTACTGTGTTTGCCGTTTCCTCATATGCTTGCCGAAATCAACCTCTCAAGTCTACATGTTTCCTCGTTGTACTCCTCAGGTAGGCCTTCACCTTAGGGCACTAGGGATCTCAGCGTCTTGTAAGCCTGTCACCATCGCGGTGAGCTTGAGAAGAAATTCATCTTAATTGAAACCAGAACGCTGTTCTAGGAACAACCAATGGATGAATTTGATGAGATTAGTTATGCGATGCATTATCTTGCGGGTTATATAGGTGTCTCGTTTCAGCGTAACAGCCGTAGCAAAGATGCAATGTTTCACACTTACTGAGACTCAAAGGCTGCTCACCGTTCCACTATTTAGCCTAAGTCCCTCATGGTGAGCACGAGGTTCAGAATGGTCGATTTGTTCTCCAGGCTGGATCATTTAAGTTTCGGAACATTGGTAGACTTATCACTATCTACTACACTTCTAGCCTGGATTGCTTGTCGAGGATAGCCGGGGAAGTACAGTTTGCATGTTGAATTCTCCCACAAGCAGGATTCGGATCTAAGGTGGTCAAAACCGTCCAGGTGGAAGGAGTTAGGCAGTAGGTCATGTCTAAGCTGGACATCGGATAGCGACGTACGACGGACAGAAATTTGTCATTATGTTTTAGTTGTAAGTGGCACCGAAGCGAATCAAGGACTTGAACCTGTACACCATCAGAGTTCGAGTTGAAAGGTCACTTCGATGGTACAATCGTATTCCACCCAGTCGAACTGAGACAAAAGGACTATCGACCTAAGTATCCTATGTAGCAATCTTAACCACCTTGTCACCACCAACAGGAAAACTGTGCTACAGTTGAACTTTGAGAGCAAGAACCGTCTAACAATAGCAAATTAGCCTGCAGCTATCCTCCATTAGACGGTTGCTTATACACTTAGATCCAAAGTTTAAGTACTCGTCTGAGCCTATGACGTACTAACGTCTTACAGGGGACCCCACAATATCTAGCGGCGCTTTTTACCCACTGTGTGGAAAGAACCAAATTGCGGCCACTTGTGATCGGTAGGACCGAGTGTGAGGATCAGACATTTCCAGAGCACCAAGGGTAATGTCGCAAAATTCGGTACCTCGGGAACGAGTGCTCTCTTCAGATGAGATTACTCAGCAAAAACTACATGTTCGTCTGGCAGAAAGCCTGGATTTGCATAGCTTGGATACTTCCACCAAACAACACTATTTTGGGTGTACAAGATTCTTTCTTTCGTTTAGTTAAACATACAACAGGAAACGATGTGCAGCATATGAAAATGGTCCAATCAGCCAAGCCGTATAGATGGACGATCATCAGCACCCAGTAGTCGTACCTGTCCACTTCACGTATGCAAAGGTTCTCCTTGGGGCGGCCTTCGAACTTTCCACGCTTACTCATGCACGCTTTGTTGCGAAATTCGCACCGGCTCTTCTATTCTTCCTACTGTATTCTACAGCAAGACATGAGTAATTGTTCCACGGAATCGGCATCCGCATATGCCCTGTCGACCAAAGGTAGCTACACTGGCCGACTTGACGAAAATTGAGTGTTACAAGCCGAGGACACGTCTCTTTTACCCACTTTTATAACAATCAGGCAGTCGCGCAGATGTAGTTTGCAGTAGAAACCAATCCAAATCGCAAGAGTATGGTCGTGGGTTCGAAACCGGTAGGATTCGGCTGGTGCGCGCTACTGACGAGTCCCAATAGGACGAAACGGCCGTCTAGCGCTTTCCTGTATGTGTGGTGGCTGCCTGCCTGGGTCTAACTGCGACGAACCTACAGGAAAACCTAATAAATCCCCTACTACTTACAAATAATCAGTAGTCGCTTTAGCAGCTTACATGCCACCTCGATTGGTGGCGGCTTGCAAAGGAATTCGTTGCTCTGGGGGCCAGCCCTGTCCTCTGCACGTTCACAACATGCAAGACAGTGGAGGATGAGCCGCGCTATATCACAATTAGATATCAGACATGGCGGTCCGCTGTCGTCGCGCATGTCTCAGTGACATAAGTGGCTGACTCGCAAGAGTATGCTCGTAGGTTCGAAACCGGTGGGATTCGGCGGGTGCGCGCTACTGAGGAGTCCCAATTGGACGAAACGGCCGTCTAGCTCTTTCCTGGATGTGTGGTGACTGTCTGCTTGGGTCTAACTGCGACAAACCTACAGGAAAACCTAATAAATCCCCCTACTACTTACAAACATGAGTAATTGTTCCACGGAATCGGCATCGCCATATACTCTGTCGACCAGAGGTAGCTTCACTGGTCGACTTGACGAAAATTGAGTGTTACAAGCCGATGACACGTCTCCTTTGCCCACTTTTATAAAAATCAGACAGACGCGCAGATGTAGGTTGTAGTAGAAACCAATCCATTTAGCTATGGTCTCCGACT